AGGGACACTTGGCTCAGTCTGGGAGGAAGGGACTGGACCTGCCTGGACTGAGTCTACCAGGTTGATCGCAGTCCTTGGGGGAGGATTTGCCCTGGTGAAGGCGGGAATCGGGGGTTGGCTGGGGGTAAGCAGAGGGGGTGGGAGTGGAGAGAATAGGGGAACCCATGGCTGATATGTAGAACTGAATGGTATTGTAAAATAAAATAGATAAAAATTTAAAAAAAAAGAATAATGATCTCAGTAATTGAATTATGTAAAATAAAAGTTGTAAAGTGCTTCTGTTAGTACAAACAAGTGACATATTTTCACTTAATAAGAAAAAAATCTTATACTAATGTTGCAAGATTGACATAAGAATGAGCATGGAAGCTGAGGGCAAGAAAGCAGGAGAACTGGCCCCACCCCTTGCTCATTGCTGCAAAGGGTGAACTAGCCAGGGCAATGCTAGAGAGTTCACGCTGGTGGTGAGGACAGGGAAAGCTGGTGGGCTGACAAATCCTGCAACTACCAAGGCCCAGAACCAGGACTACATCCACCCAATCTGTGAGCTGTTGGAACATGTGAAGGGGACAGTCTGGAAGACTCAAAAGCTGCAGGATCTCCACAACACAGGGCAGCAACAGGATATCTAAGAGAAGTGAGGGCCCAGTATGTATAGTGTAGCAGAAACCAGAGGTCTCAAACCAGACCAATGACTCTTTGTAACGAACACTTACAAGTAAAGCTATATGGATAAAAAGGGTTTACTGCATGACTCACTGTGTCACCATACAGCTTCCATGATGAGATAATTTCTTTTTCTCTTAAATTTTATTTTAATTTATTTTGGGGGAGCTGCAAGGACAGAGGGCAGATATGAAGGGGCAGGAAATAAATGGGATCAAGATACATGATGTGAAAGACATAACGAATAAATAGAAAGAAAGTTAAAAAAAAGTTTAGCTGAAGGTAGAGAATAGGATAGTGGAGGGCCAGCATCAAGCACCACTGGAAGAGTTGGTCAGGGAGGCTCTGCTGGGTTTGCTTGATGTCAGGCTCTAGGCATGATGGATATACTGCAACTTTGCAAGCTCTCTCTGTTGTACCAAAGATAAAGTACTTGCTGTCACTTCATTTCCTTTTATTTGAGTGCTTTCAAAGCTCAGCAATGTTACTAAATAGTATCACTTAATAAGCTTTGCTGGCTCATGAAAAGAAAAGGAAGCACACATGCATGTTTTGCCTTAGAGATGTAACCCTGACTCCGCATTGCCACCTGGTGTTAGAATGTGGATATTTCCATGGTAGATGACAAAAAGAGTTAAGGAGTTATTGAAATGTTGAAGTATGTGCCAATATTAGGGATACAATTTTTTTCTACTAAACAAAGAGGCTAAAAAAACCAGATTCAAAATTTCCTATTCTAAATGTCAGAATCTGGTGAAATAATACTAGGGCCCCGTGATTGCTAATCTTGGTTGTCAACTTGACTACATCTGGAATCAACTAAAGCCCAAGTGGCTGAGTAAGCCTGTGAAGGATTTTCTTGATTTGATCATTTGAGGTGAGATGGAACAACCTAAATCTTGGCCATACCTTCTGGTAGCAGCCCACATAAAAATACATGGAAAGAGAAAGCTTTTGCTTTTTGCCTGCTTGCCCTCTCTCTCGCTGGCAAGTTCATCTATCCTGCTACTGAGGCATTCCTTTGCTGGTATTAGAACCTACTTTTTAAGGATTCCAATGTAGACTGAAGACCATCTGTGACAAACATCCTCATGGATAGAACAACTATATGATTCTTGGCCTTTCCACCAGGAGACAGCTATTGCTGGACTAGCCAGACCACACTTACAAGCCACTCTAATAAACACACACACAAACACACACACACACACACACACACACACACACTATATTAGTTTTATTACTTAAAAGAACCTTTACTACTACAGGCTCAAAAATAAAATCTACAAAAGGAAGTAAATTATAACCCTAAGTTATAACCATCTTGTATATTACATGGGAATGGTAGTATGTGGAAACAGGGTGAAAGAGGAGGGAGGGAAAGAGCTGGAGAAAGAGAGAGAGTGGAATTAGGAGGAGGAGGAAGAAAAGGGGAAAGGAGGAGGAAAGGATTGAATTAACTGCTCCCAATGCTCCAAAGTGACCCAGAGCCAACTTCCAGGTTGTTTACCAGCAGAGATCTCTAATGTTACATGTATGGGCAGATTTTGCCTTTCCACATTTGGACTTGAGTCCTACTACTAAGCAAAAGACAGTGTTTTCCAGTGTTGTATTGAGTTTAGTAGGATTAGCTCTTGTAATATACATTAGATTGCCAAAATACCTTCACAGAGGCAGGCATCACTTATTTGCAGCAGCTTTCCAGCACCAGCAAAGCACCTTGGACAATCCCTTTGTTCATAAGAGTTCCAACCCTGCTCTTACCTGCACCATCTTCCAGGTGATTGAGATTGCAGACTTGACTGATGCTGTGCACCCACACCTGCATTTCTTCCTCAGTCTTGGCTACTAGGTAGAATGTACGGGAAGTAGTCTTGACAATGAACACAAAATTGTTCTGAAATTCCTTCCTAACGAAGCCAGGGCCTGCATGCTTCCACACAGTGCATTCGCTGAGATCTATCACACGGATAGGCTTGCTGGAGTGCTTGTTGCGGTAGTACTCTAAGACATCAGGATTGCCACTCATGCGGCCCCGTCGGAGGACAAACCAGCGCTTGCGCCAAGCCTGTATAGGAAATTTGACATGAAGTTATTAGACCAATTGTTCGTGTTTCTCAAGCTCTGACAAGAACCTTATAGGAGGACAAGGGCAGCAAGAAAGAAGAAAAACTGCCATTCTAAAGTAACACTTTTTATTTTTGGAGAGAGAGGGGGTCTCATAGAGGCTACAATAGACTCAAATTCACTGTGTAGCTAAAGATGACCTCAAATTATTGATTTAAGGGGCTGTGGACTGATCTGGCTGTCCAGTGTTTAACAGCACTTCCTGCTCTTGTAGAGAACCTGGGTTCAGTTCCCATCATCCACATAGCAACTCACAACCACCTTTAACTCCAGTTTCAGGGGATCTGATGTCCTCTTCTGATTTCATGGGCACCAGGCATGCATGTGATGCACAGACATACATGCAGTCAAAACATTTGCACACATTAAATAAAGTGTGTGTGTGTGTGTGTGTGTGTGTGTGTGTGTGTGTGTGTGTGTGTGTTTTGGACAGTTTTATGTCAACTTGACTCTTAGAAGATGGAAGCACTATGATTGTTTTTAAGGAGAAATAACAACATGAATGTATGCTTACAGGAATGATCTAGGAGAAAGAGAAAAATTAATGACTCAAATGCCTGTTGCAAAAACACGGCATTTCCAGGCATGGTAATGTATACTTTAATCTTAGAACTTGGGAGCCAGAAGCTGGTGGGACTCCATGAGTTCAAGGCTATCTTACCCTACAAAGTGAGTTCCAGTTCAGCTGGACTACAAATTGAGACCCAGTCTCAAAAAACAATAACAATAACAAGAAATCATGGCTGGAAACAAGAAAACTGGATGGAAGTGGGTCATTAACAAGGAGAGGAATTCACCTTGCTTTGGGGTATAGAACACAGGAGGTAGGAAACCAGCTTTGGGATTAACAGGGACAAAGAACAGGGTGATATCATGCATGCCTGCTAAGGAAAGCTTCCACGGAAGGCCTGGAGTACCCCAAACTTTCCATAGGCCACTTTGGTGAGGAAATGTGAAGAGGAACTTTGTTTTACTTCTTTAAAAAATGTTTCCAAAAGAGGAAATAAAAATGAACACAGAAGCAAGTTTCATGTTAAGTGTTTTTAACACAGAAGGGAGATGACACAGACAAGTTTATAATTCATTGATTCAAAAAGTATCAGTTGATCTACTAATATGCTAGATACTGTGCAGATATTGGAGAAGTCAAGATAAGTCAAGAGCAAGTAACATATCATGCCACTCCCAGTCGTGTGGGTGGCAGGGGAAGTGGGCAGATGGATAATTAGATAATTGCAGTCAATGAGACAAGTGTTGTAATAAAAGATAACCAAGATGCTAAGACAAGTGTTGTAATAAAAGATAACCAAGATGCTAAGGGAACACACAAAAGAAAGACTTCTGTCAGATCAAGGTCTGGGAAGGCTCCAAAGAGAAGTAGTGACTACACTATAACTAAAGCCATACAGAGGGAGAAGAATGCACAAAGACACAAAGAAGGAAAAGACATGAAGTCGTCCACAAGTAGTTCGGCAGGGCTGGAAGGAAAAAGAGTTACATAAGTAACTTGTGGAAGATATAATGCAATCTTAATGCTAAATCATTCAAGATTACCAGCATGAATTTCCCTAGGTTTTAAAATGTCTGCCTGAGAACTATGATTGAACAAAAGCCAAAATAATGTGTCCTAGGAGCTGTTTGCTAAGTAAGTAGGTCAAAGACCAAGGTTCAACACATAATGGAGAAGAAAAGCCTTCTGTACGGCAAAGGAAATGACAAAATTAAATGGCAACTGTGAAAAAGAGACTGTGAAAAAGATTGCAAGCTACACTTCTGATTAGATTGGGTTTTTTTGTTGTTGTTATTTTGTTGGTTTTGTTGTTGTTGTTTTTGAGACATGGTTTCTTTGTGTAGCCCTAGCTATCCTGAAATTCACTCTGTAGACCAGGTTGGTCTCCCACTCAGAGATTGGTCTGTATCTGTCTCCTGAGTACTGGGAGTTAAGGCTTGCACCACCACATCCAACTGACTAGATTTAACTTCTAAAATTTATAAAGAACTTCTAGGACTAGAAAGATAACTCATTGTTTAAGAGTGCACACTGATCTACAAGAAGACCCAGATTCTTTCCCAGTACCCACACCTGTTACCTCTTATAACCTCAGCTCCAGGGGCTCTCCAGAAAGCCCTCTTCTGGTTTCCAAGGGCATCTGCACTTATGTACACAACACCCTACACACATATACATAATTAAAAATAAATAAATATTTTAAATCAATAAAATTTTTAAAATGGAATGTTTACAACTCAGTAACAGGACAAAAATAACCCCACTTAAACGGGTTGGGTGTGATAACACATGCTTTTAATTCTGGCACTCAGGAGACAGAGACTGGAGGATCTCTGTGATTTCAAGGCCAGCCTGGTCTACTTAGTGAGTTCCAAGTCATTCAGAGCTACATGGTGAGACTCTGTCTTAAGGGGGGAAAATAGCAAAGGATCTGAAAAGAAACCGCTACAAAGAAGACATAAATGGCTAAGAGGTATTAAAAAGATGTTCAACATCACCAATCATTAGGGAAACACAAATTAAAACAAATGGACATTACTTCGCCCCAGTTAGGTTATCTACTATTAAAAAGAAAGAGCAATTGTTTGTGAGGGTAGAGAGAAAGGGATACCTTTGTACACGCTTAGTGGGAAATGTAAATTAGTATGACCACTATAAAGTTAAAACTAGAACTACCATATGATCCAGAAATTCCTTTTCTGGATATATACCAAAAGAAGACAAAAATCAACACCTTGTAAAAATGTCTGCACTGCCATGTTCATTTCAGAATTACTTGTTTAACAGTGGACAAATGGTTAAAGAAAATGTGGTACATCTACACAATGGAATGGCATTCAGTCTTAAAAAAGGAAGCAGTGTAGCATTTATCAGGTATATTTGGAAAATATGTCAGGTGAAATAAGCCATATACAAAGAAAAACATTATATGACTCCATTTATATATGGAATTATTTTTTAAAAGTCAAATGTCCAGAGATGATGAAATGGTGGTTAATGAGGGTAAAGCATACAAGGAAACAGGGAGATGTAGGTCAGAGCATACAAAGTAGAAGACATTTAAGATGAATAAGTCTAGAGCTCTAATGTTTAACTTATAGAGGACTATAATTTAAAAATATTTTGTAATGGATGTTATTGTATAGTAAGTAGATTTTAGCTACTCGTATCACAAAGACAAGAACTGTGAGATATATGGTAATATACCTCAGTATGGTAACCATCTCACTATCATAATATCATGTTATGAAACTGAAATATACATAATAAAATTTATTTTTAAAAGACAAATAACATGATAGAGAGGTGATCTGTGAATTACACGAAGCTGAAAAGATGTATCATAGTCTTAAGTGTGCACAGATGTTCTTTTTGTTCTGAGAAGTGGTTTTATTGTATAGCCTAGGCTGGTCTGCAGTTCACTATGTAGTCCAGTCTGGCCTCTAACTAATGATCCACTCTCTATGGCAGAGGGATTGACACTCGAACCTGTGTTTCCCTGTTACAGGTGAATTGTATTCCCCAACACAAATTATTTTATTCTCTCTTCCCAAATAGGGTGAATGTCAACCAACTGGGAAATAGGATCTTTATCACATTAAAGTAAGGCCATTAAGGTGGGCTATAATTACATATTATTATAGCCCATTACATACTGATGTCCTTATAAAAGGAGATACTAGGGCACAAAGTGGTACACAAGAAAAACACTGAAGAAACACGGAGATAAGACAGCTACTAAAAAGCTAACAAGAATCCTTCCTCTATATTCCTCAGAAGTAATGGACTTTGCTGTAACCTTGATTTCAGACTGTAATCTCTCAAACTTAGAATCAATGAACTTCTGTTAAGAATGAGTTTTTCTATAGGAGCTGTTTCCTAAACTTTAGCATATATGGGGAGCATATCTTCTGCCAGCCCTATTGGTATACCTGGAATGGAGCTTGCTTCCTACCCACAAAAATCATTTAAAAAACTATCCCAATAAATAATATTGTGTGAAAGGCCATCAATGCAGGGCTAAATACTATAATGTACAATGAAATTCCATGATACAACTCCAGGAACTTAGTAGTTCTTGGATTCAGTTCTTGGATTCAAAGGATTCACTAAATGAGTAACTACAAGAACTCACAGAGTAAATTCTGATCTGCCAAGATGGAGAAACTTGTAACATTTATCAAGCTCCAGAAAGCCCAACCCTTAGCAACAGGGTAGGCTAGCCCCACAGTATAGGCTACTCTTGGTCTGCTCTACAAAAACTTTAAAAGAAGGCTTAGAACAATCAAACTGGTCTACAAATCACTGAATTTCCTGCCCAAGAAATTCAACAATTTAAGAGAGGACAACAAAATCAAGATGCTGAACAATGTATTTACTAAGTACAACATCCCAAAATGCTACTAAAAATGCAAAGAAACTGGAAAATGTGACCTATAACCAAAAAAATCAACCATCATCAGAAAGAGATCTAAAAATGAGAGAGACTATGGAATAAACAGATAAATAACTCTAAAACAACTATTATTTGTGGTGGTATTGTGTTCCCCAAAATATTGTGAACGCTAATAAATTTATCTGGAAGATCTCCCTTTTTATCTTATCAATTACTCTTTGATATTTAAAGGAAACCATGTACATTATGAGAGAAACAGAAAATATAGACAAGAAGAAATGGAACTTGCAAAGGTTAAAAAAATATTACAGTATCTGAAATATTTGCTAGATAGGCACACCATGTTACGTACTAAAGAAGTGATTAGGGGACCAGAAGCATAGAGGAAAGGGGAAGGAGAAAGGGAGAGGGAGATGAAGAGAGAGAGATTCTTTATGGGTTTACAATGAACCTAATATCCAGTATTTTCTCATCATAAACTTACTTTCTAGAAACAATTAGATACACATGGTCTCTAACCTGGAACTCAAGCTGT